TCCGAGACCAAATCTGACCATCAAAAAGATTATCCTGCTTGAAGCTGCTTCATTTACTGTCTTCATTTAAGTGACCAACTGAGACCTGCAAATTCCTTTCTTAATAAAACTTCATGAGGAACCCTGTATGTTTCACATAGGTATGAGTTCTTCTATTTTTTCAGGCTTATCTGTTGCTTAGTGACGAAGAGGAGGAGGAAGAAGAGGTGGATGATGGCACAGTGTGTGTCAGCGACGGGTTCAACCTCCCAAAGGATGTCTATGACAAGTTGTATCCGTACCAACAAGAAGCAGTAAAGTGGTTTTACTCATTGTTCATGAAGAGAAAGGGAGGGATCCTAGGAGATGACATGGGGTATGTTGGAATCTTTCATCATGAATATAATAAAGCCAAGTGTAGCTACATATAAGGGGTAGGACATGTGCCCTGTCAGCAGTAGAATATCTGTCATGAATATTAGGGTTTAGGCAAAATAAATGACAGTGACCTGTGTAGCCCCATAGCTAGTCAGTCTTCCAGTGGGCTTGGGCAGATGTGAATGTATCTAAGCTAATACAAATATTTATGAAAAGGTACAGAATATGTAGTAGATTTTACATTCCCCAAAAATATGCAGGAAGAAGGCAAATTTTCAGTACAGTGCATTTAATTCTATATTATAGAATACCCTCATCATTATCTATAGCTCAACAGAACTAGTCAATGTTGACCAAAAGAAGATGACAGTCAGTAGAAAGGTTGGCTGTAAAAAAAAGAACACAGATTCTTGAATGAAGAACATTCTTACATGTGTTTTATTATAACTTTTAATGACACTGAACTTGATTGTTTTACCTTCCCAGGCTGGGTAAGACCGTACAGGTGACAGCCTTCCTGTATGGGATGTTCCTGATGGATCGCATCAAAAATGTGCTGATTATCCTGCCAGTGGCACTCATCACTAACTGGGAGAGAGAACTGGAGAAATGGTCAGTAATATAAACTAAATTCCTATACACATACAGGGCTCCAAATGCTATGTGCATGTGCAAGTTAGTTTGGTGCTGTACATGTACCTTCAGACCAAACTTGCACAGCTCATTGTAAATACCTTTGCAAATCTTGATACCATAATGTAAGTACATGACTTTTGGAAGCCCAAACGTAGACTTTCATCAAATTGTGATCTTTCGGCACTGTACCAAGAGTTGCGAACTGCAAACCTAGAAATCTAGGCTTCCTTTTGCTGCCTTGCTGAAGCGTGATTCGTAATACACATACACGTATAGAGCCTGAATTTGTCTACATGCATGTAATATCTGAGCTTGAAATGTTTTGGAGGATACTTCAACTGTCATTAATACATTATTTATGACTAATTCCTAGCAATTGGTAAGATATTGCCTCTCCCGTGACAAACTTTATTTCTTTCTTATTCATGACACAACTTCAGGGCTTCGGGTGAAATCCGTGTGAAGCAGTTCCATGGGTCTAACGCGCGGGAACGTACCAGGAACCTGGAGCGCGTACAGAGGAGAGGTGGGGTCGTTCTGACCAGCTATGGCATGGTCTCCAACAACTGGGAGCAGCTCGCCAAGATTGACTACAAAGAATTTGTCTGGGTTTGTCTGATTCTATCTCTCACTTCTTCATGTAATAGATAATAAGGATGCCATATATTGCTTTGTGTTACTTAGTTATTGTATAATCACAGTAAACATGTATATTGGTGCTATGACTAACCAAAGCTCAAAATACTTTACTCAACCTACTTCTGCTTTCTGCAATGTGGTTGAAAAATTTTTTTTCAAGGTACTGAGTCAGTGTACTTCACTCATTTTAGCTTGCCAATTCCAAGTTGTTTATTTGAAGTTCTGCAGTCCAAATTCCAGGTTGTATGGACATCTTTCAAGCCCAGGTATGTGCTTTAAAATCATCAGTGGACAACATTTTTTTTTTAAATTTTACACAGGACTATGTCATTCTGGATGAAGGGCACAAGATAAAGAACCCCACTAAGACAACGAAGGCTTGCCACGCAATCCCAGCCAGGAACAGGTTCATCCTGACAGGGACACCCATCCAGAACAACCTCAGGGTAGGGCAGGGGGAGATGTCTACTGTAGTTATTCATCTTTAAGCAAATAAAGCAAATAAATAGATCTTTTGGTGGCTTTTTGAGACTATCAACTTCGCCACGCAGTATTCATTTGCTATCATCAAGTTGGGCTGATGTAAAAAAAAAGTTCAATTAAAACACCTAAAAAAAAGGCACTAAAATATACGCCAAGGCCCAAACCTCTGCTTGGAAAGATTTATTTTACTATGCATCTTACTAACTGTTCATACGGGATTACCTGTCCCAAATGGAATCGGATGCTTCCTGCAGTAAGTGTTGTGACCTTTACAAATTGACAGCCCTTACACTAGACTTACAAAAAAAAAAGATGGATGTACTTTATTTGGAAATGATACACAAGGTTTAGCAGGATAGCTGTAGGCAGTCCACATGTTGATCAGCTTGTGTTTTCTGTGTACAGGAGATGTGGGCTCTGTTTGACTTTGTGTCTCAAGGCACCCTCCTGGGAACTGCTAAGACCTTCAAGATGGAGTACGAGAACCCCATCACAAGGGTAAGTATCCCAACCTAAAAAATTGGGTATGGAAAAAAATTTTGCTTGCAACATATAAGATGAAATGAAATAAAATATAAAATAAGTAGTGTCAGCAAACACTGACTAATCTATGTTTCATTTCTAAAGAAAAGTAGTACAAGAATGATTTCATTATTTTTTTTACACTTCGATGTTAAAAATATGTTGTATACTACTAAAGTAAACATTTAACATCTTTACATAGTACGTAAATATACCAAAATATTTGGGTGCACTAAGGTGCATATGCACCCAGTATTTCAAACCATGAATTATGAACTAATGTTGTACCTGTGCACTGCCCAGGCCAGGGAGAAGGATGCTACAGCAGGTGAGATCCACCTGGGAAACCGCATGTCGGAGAGCCTGAGACAACTCATCGCACCCTACTTCCTTAGGAGAACCAAAGCAGAGGTGATGCCCAAGGACAAGGAGAACACAGATCCTAACCAAGACGCTGGAGAAGCCCAGGAACAAGCCTCGGGGTAATTTTTTTTGTTTTATCAGAATCTTGTAATGACAAACAGGGACATTCCTCATCTCTTTCCTAGATGTAGGCCATAGGTATTGTAAGGTAAGGTTGTCGAATGTTAGACTGATATTAAAGTGATGCGAAATTGTCATCAACTCTTAACCATATTTCTGCTGAAATACTGCTGTACAAAATGGCAAGTATATTATGGAGATGTCCTTAGCTTGCTGAAAATTAAACCTGTACATGTCTGTACTACTACTAGGAACACGTTCCCATCCCTGGAGAGGAAGAATGACCTGATTCTGTGGGTTATCTTGTCCAAAGCCCAGCAGCAGATCTACAAGGACTTCCTCAGTCTGGACAGGGTTAAAGAGGCAAGTATTTTACCCTCTCTCTTCTGTAGTACAATTTACTGTTGTACATTGTACATCTATATTATAAGATATCATAGTAACAGTGGATGTTACTGGAAACGTCTAGCAGTTTCCAAAATCTATCTTGTTGCTTGAAGCAGCATGCTTGAACCCACTGTATGGCTGTATGGGACGATACCACTTCTGAACCACTGTGAGACCTTAGCTTGCCCTTGACTATTTGTATCAACTGACGATTATGCTTGATAGTTGTGTTGTTGAGGTTTTTTATCTATTCTACGTCTTACTAGTTCCTGATAAACCAGCAAATTTTGCATAAATTTTGTATAGATTCTTTATTCTAGTGTGAACATTCTTTACGTGTGAATATGTCTCTTACTGAATTGTTGTCTTGTCACAACACAATTCTGCCATTTGGCTGCTATGTTTAATTTTCAACAGTGTTGAAGAAAACCATTCATGTAACTGTTCCTGTGATATGTTTAGATGCTGATGACGACCAGGTCCCCCCTGGCAGAGCTGAACGTGCTGAAGAAGATCTGTGACCATCCCCGGCTCCTGTCCACCCTGGCATGTGCACAGCTCGGACTGGACGGAGAAGATGGGTCAGACTTCTTACTCCACAATTTTTTTTTTTTACTTTCTCTGAAAGTCTTCATGTCAATTAGGTTTCTGAGACAAACATTTCATGTTTGACTGCGATAAATGTTTAGCCAGCATTGCATGTACATGTAGGTGTCTTGCACATGTAGGTTAGTTCTGGTGAAGTTGTAATTATGCAGATGAAATTACTTCCTAACTCAGTGATTTAAGAATTATTTTTTTAGGATCTAAATGCATTAATTAAGATTAGAGAGATGTACTTTAAAAACGTAATTCAGTGTTTTTAAAAATATTATTTTTTTCAGATCCTATCTTTTCGGGAGCTGAAAAAAAGGGAATTTTGGTTCGTAAGTGAAAATTGTGTGTGTTTTTTTTTCAGCTTGGACCCAGAAGATGAGGACAACATGGCCCACGAGGTGGCAGCCAACAGTATCGAGAACATCTCCAGTGACCAGCTGATGGCAGAGTCTGGGAAGACGTGCGTCTTAGTCGAGCTGTTAGAACGTCTCAAGGAGGAGGGCCACCAGACACTGGTCTTCTCACAGTCAAGGAAGATGCTGGACATCATCCAGAAGATCTTGAAGAGTCGGGTAAGTCTTCTTGCAGAGCATCTTGTCCTTAGTACATGTACATGTAGGTAGGTCTGCAAAAGGTATTCCTGTAGCCTTTGAGGCTGTAGGTGCAATGAGTTGTTAATCCACTGTGTCTAGGGCATGGTATTGGCAGGTGGAGCTCATCCGTCTCCTTCCATTGTCTAATACCTACCTAACCAAAGTCATCTAGGTGGAGTGAGGAAAGTCGTGTAGAGTGCCTTTCCCAAGGACAAGATGTCTAGCTAGGAATGCCAGAGATGGAACTCATGACTTTTTGATCTCATGTCTGCTAGCTTAACTGCTCAGCCATTCGATATCTAAGTATATGATTGTGTTGCAACTGTGAATCGTTAGATGAAACTAACATTGATTTTTTTTCAGGGCTTCAAGGTGATGAGAATCGACGGCACTATCACCAAGTTGGAGGATCGAGACAAACGGATCCGCAGGTTTCAGAGTGACCCATCCTGGAGTGTCTTCCTGCTCACCACACAGGTAGTATTTCACTTACGTCAAGGCTTCACTAGGGCTCAAAATACATTTTAGGTCAACTTGCACTCTTGTACCGATGGAAGTGTGGTTTGAAGCTATGTGCACACATCCATGTGGTATTTCGAGCCCTGCATGACATGGTCCTTATCTCTCTAAAATTTTCAACACATGTTTTGACCAGTACTAGTTGTCGTTCTTTTCAACATAATTTTCTTAGTTTCACAACCATATATTTTACCATGCTGACGTTTCAACATCCTCCCTGTCGGTCTGTGCCCCCCTCATCTCTGTTGGTGACTGGTGTGATAAAAAATGTGGTTGTAAAACAAGGAAACCATGTTGAATTGATCTACCAACCTGATCATGATAAAACTATTTACAGTAAATGTCGTTGTTGTCTCCCACAGGTTGGTGGAGTTGGGCTCAACTTGACAGCAGCAGACAGAGTAATCATATGTGAGTTACTTTATCAATACTTAAGTTGTTTCCTTACTCTGATGTTTTAATCTAAGAAGGTTGTGATTTTTTTTAAGTTTGTGTCAATACTGACATTGGGAATGGGGCAGTCCTACAGGTACCTGTAGTTAATTGATTATGGAGTCAATTTTAACAGATTTTTCTCCAGTGACAAATTTTTCTCAGAGAGAGGGAGTGTTCTATGCAAAGTCCAAAGTTTAGGAATCATAATGTAGCTGACAATTGAGATTCAGCAATGGAATGTTGTTACAGTATCAAATCCTCAGCTATTTAATACAGATTCTAGGTATACTCTCGGTATCTACAGTGTGATTTTTAGGATTGTTCTTCATGTAAAATTAAGTGAGGAGTTCACTTGTGTATGATCATGGAATTTTGAATTTCACAGATGACCCCAGCTGGAACCCAGCCACAGATGCCCAGGCAGTAGACAGGTGAGGGGACATATAGAATTCTACATGGTACATTCCGTATCACTCGAGGTTACAGTCCCCCGGTACAATGAACCTGTAAATATTGTACATAGCGTCCATCTTCTCTGTCACGACCAGTGGAAGATTAGCTCTTCAGTGAACTAAAACTGGATTTTTTACTTCTGTCAGGGCGTACCGTATTGGTCAGCAGAAGTCGGTGGTGATCTATCGGTTCATCACCTGTGGGTCTGTGGAGGAGAAGATCTACCGCAGACAGGTGTTCAAGGAGTCAGTCACCAGGCAGACCACAGGAGCCTGCAAGGACCCCTTCAGGTGGGAAGACACTCGTCTCTAAGGCCATACCAGGGCCTCCTCAGAAATTTTTAGGGAAGAGGTGCTCCCCAATCAGTTGTCACGAAAAGAAAGCAAATTTTTATGAGTATACTAAGAGAAACCCCTAAATTCAAACATTTTGTGTGAGGTGCTGTGATTTGGGGGAGAGGGGAGCACCCTTGCTTCATTGCTTAGGGAGAGCCCTGCCATACTGATAATGTTTGATTGTATGGATGACATCCTCTCCCAAAAGCGATGTGAGCATGGGGATTATGAAAAAAAAGTTGCCTTTGTAATCTAAGTAATCGGGTGTATGAGTCTAGAATGAATTTTTTTCCCGGCCAGGACTGAGATGTGGATGACTGTTGTGCCTGTTCCTTGTAACAGATGTAAATAGTTTTATTGAAATAATTAATATTCTTGAATCTTGAATGTTTCAGGTACTTCTCCAGGCAGGACCTTCGGGAACTGTTTGTGATGGATAACCCGGAACACTCCACCACGCAGGAGCAGCTGGCACAGATGCACTCCCAGAACAGGAAGTCAGACACAGCCCTGGACGAGCACATTGCCTACCTGCACTCCCTGGGTAAGGCCACACTGACTTAACTTCATGGATGACATCCTCTGAATACCCCATGAGTAATGAGCGGGTGAATAAAAAAAGTCCAGGCAAAAAAATAATACTGATAAACCACAGGAATACAAAGCTGGTATTGCGAATTTGTGTTACTTTTACAACAAGAAGGGACATGCTGGCCATTTATGAGTCGGCACCGATGCACCGTACTGAGTTCTAGAGTTCCGTGGAGCTTTGGCAGTATATGGGTGCCATCCTCCGTCATTACCACCAGCTCCATATTGTCGGTAGCCACAATAGATTACATAGGAGGATGGCACCCAGCAGGTTTAAGCCTTGGGGGTGTATTTTAAGAGTTTTTTGTGAGTTCTATAAGCAGTTCTGACTGGTTGCTGCTCTAACTGTATTCCTGCAGGTATATTTGGAATCAGCGATCATGACCTGTTATACAGCAAGCAGGCTGATCATGAGGAGCTGCCAGCAGGACAGGAGTACATTCAACAGAGGGTAGGGCAGGCAAACATCTATTTGTCAGTTTTTTTTACTCTTGTTACATGTATGTAAAAGTCTTGCATTGCTATCTCGAAGTGTAGAGACTGTTCCTAACAACACCTATTTAGTTCAGTCTGTCCCCACTCTGAGTCAGGCTTGCATGGTGTTGTTGACTAAAAGAGAAGAGATGCTGCTTCAGGCCTTGAAGTGTATTCTTAAAGTGGCTTTCAGGTCTTGTTACCAATGCATAGGGCCATTTAGAGGTTGTTTAGCTTTTTTTTGTACGTTGCTTAAATTGTTTCCTTCTATGTAAAAAAAAAAATTCATATTGGGGAAAAGGTGGTTGTTACAGCAAGGGGGTCAGCTTGAAGAGGTGGCAGCTTGGGAAGGTTTGACAGTTATATGGTCAAGCTCTTCACAGCCACTGTTTGTTGTGTAGGTGCACAAGGCCCGCGAGCTGGTCATGGCAGAGTCCCAGCTTCACCACCAGATGAACGAGCTACGACAGACGACAACAGAGGCCAGCTTCCTGCGCCGCCACGGAGGGAAGCAGCCGGGTCCGGAGCCTGGCCCCTCCGGGTCACAGGACGGTTTCCCTGACAACCTGCCCGAACTGTTCCACCCCAGTCAGGACCACAACCCTCGCAACATGCTCAACAAACCTAAGGGTAGAGTGTTCTTGTTCAGTAGAAATTGCAAAATATCATCCTACATGTGTAGTGCTGTGTACCTGTGTTCCTACATGTTAAAAATTCTCTCTAATGCAAATCACTTGCCAGAGTACTGTTGTAGGTAACATTATTGAATAGATTAGAGGTTTGATTTGGTACAACCCCTCCCTCCTTCAGTTCGGACAGTAAGCAGTGATGACTACACAGACAGTCCTGTGCATCCCAAGTCTCACCCAGATGAGCTCCCAGGACGCTTCATCGACCTGAGCCAGGAAACTGAAGAGGTACAACTGATTAGAGATTGATTTTAGTATGCTTGTTGTTTGGACATTTCATGTAAGTTGTGTATTAGCTCAGGGCCTATATTTAATAAGAAACAGCTCAATTTTTTTTCTGTCAGCCCAACTTAGTGATCAGACCAGACAGACCTGTTCTCATTTAAGGGGGCAAATTTGGAATTTTCAAGCCTTTAAAAATACAATTTCCCACATTTTTGAGAGGCAAATCAGGGGGATGAGACTAATGAGCATGGTTGTTGGTGGTCCATTGTATGTTTTAATATTTTTGCCCAAGATTTTTGTAAATTTTGTCTGTCAAGGTTGACAGATTGATTAAAAAATCTTCCAGTCAAACATCACAAAATTCCTGCAGTTGACGGAAAAGCTGGCTAGAGCCCTGATAAGAAATAAGTGCTGGTCCTGGTTGATCGTGTAACAGCTATGGTTAGAATAAAAAACAGATGTCGTTTATTGGTTCTACAGGAGCAGGCACAACAGCTGGAGAAGAGTTTTGCTAAGATCAGCATCAGCAGCCAGGAGAGGGAGGAGGAAGAGCAGGAACAGATTAACAGCTCTGCAGAGGTGGGCATGAGGAGGAACATGATTGGCTAGTAGCTTTGATAACAACTTTAGTTGCAACTTGATTTGGAGTACATGTATCTGATTGGCTAACAGCTGACCAGTGCCAATGCAACAGAATGATAGACAGTTAAAGGCTGATCAGCCAGGGTCATTGTTTTCGTCATTTGCACAATACAGAAGGGGATGGAATAAGAGATGATTGGATGTCTTAGCTGTAGTTCGATGCAGACTTGCTAGATGGCAATGCTGCACAGTTTGCCTATGAATCACTTTTTATACTGTTGTTCGTAGTCTAAGGTGTAGCATCTGATTAACCCTTGTTGATTGCAAATGTGGAAAGAAAACAAGACACTATGTCTGTTTTTCAATTCAGGCTGACCAAGAAGATCATAACGATGACCAAGAAGATCATGATGATGACCAAGAAGATGATCATGATGATGAAGATGAGCAACTCCAGCTGGCCCTGGCCATGTCATTGCAGGTACAATTGTCCTGTCTGCACTCTGCAAATCAGCCACACTGACTTCATTATCTGCATGTGTATGAATTGGTTGTGACCTTCCTGTTTTTTGGGTATTTAGAGGATTATACTGAGGTCGAAAAGAGAAAAAAGGAGATGCCTGGAAAGGGAAGCAGGGAATTGCTATGCTCTGTCTGTTCAGTCATTTGTTCATCCTTCCTAACCACTTAGACTTCAAAGCGATATGGCAATTTTTTTTTGTCCCAACTTTTTTCATTCGAGCACATCTGTTTTGGGGAGCTCAATAGATGTCATCCATATGATCAAATCAGTATGGGTTAAGTCTCATCTGTGTATTTCTTCTGCTTTTAGACAAATTTGCACGAGTTTTCAACTTTGCCACTGGACCATACATACTAACCAAATTGTACTTACTAAGCCCAATTACAATAAGGTTAGCCCTATTGTGTCTCTGAGTAACGGAATCTGTCTAAACCAACATGTGTTGCATTGCAAGATATTTCAAACAATCTGTCTTGTTATTCTTACACAGGAAAACCCTAAGAAGACATTGACAAGAGAACCTCTCACCGATATGCTCAACATTAGCAGGAAGAAATGTGAGTTGGTAAAAGACTTGTGTCTATTATGGGAAGTTTGAGTTCTTTCATTTTATGTTACTTAAACTCAACAGATTGTCAACAATTTTCATGCAGTTCTGTTTTTTTTTACTCATGTGGCATTATTTTAATCTATTTTGTTCAAGTGTGATCCTTCCCGGTCCATCTCTCTGAGCAAGTTTGAAATGCTGAAGATAGTCCACATTACCTGACAGAATTTAGAAATTGCCAAGAAGATGGTATCTTAACACGGGTCTACTACTGCAACTGTTTTCACAGATGAGGGAGACATTTCAAAGCAGAGCAGCCTGTATATGGAGGACAATTCCATTGTTTCTGTGGATGATGACCGTGCCACGCCCGGGCTGAACAACGCTCTGTTCACCAGCAGCGACAGTCTGCAGTTTGTGGCAGACAGCGGAGACGAGGACACGTCACGGGGACAGCCCAGCTCACGGTCTTCCTCTCGACCATTCTCCCGCGGAGATGTGTTCGTCATTGAGGACTCTGAGCCAGAGGAGGCTGGTCAGTGTTAGAAGTACACACCTTCAGTCTGTATTTTGCAGAGACATTTTCAACATTGCAGGAAGAGAAAGTAAGCAAACTGCAATTTTGCAGACTTAAAAAAATCGGGCCAGAGGTTCAATGGTGTCAGAATAATGTTCTTTAAAAGTTTGCATTTACTACGGACTCAATCATACTATGAATTTTTCATGTATTTTTCAAATTGAATGTAAGGTAACGAATGTAAGATGTTTGCCAACATGCAAACGTACAAAGACCTGTACCATTGGTTTAGGTCTGGACTTAAATAAGTGTGTATTTCTGAATTGCAGAACAAAATGTTGACATTCTGCAATATCGCAAATCACTGAAAAAAGTATTTCTACCACTGCAGGTAGCGACGATGATGTGCCTGTAGTTTCTGCAGCAGGTTTTGCTCAGGACGCAATCATCGATGTGAGCGAGGAAGAAGAAGAAATCGTCGACGATTTTGAATCGGAGTCGTTTCGTGACAGAAACACAGTAGAAAGGAAAGAAGAGATGACTGCAGCAGTTCCTCATATTGATAGCAGAGAGGGGGGGACAGAAGATGAAGATGACACCAAACGCTATCAAGATGATGTAGACATCAGCGATGACAGTGCAGAGGAGTCTGAAGTAACTGACAACAGCAGACAGTCTGACAGAAAGAGCTTCCCTTCTGTGCCTGGGGGGCACGACAGATTGTCGCTGGACAACAGTCTCATCAAGAATGCCCGGCGGCGGCCCAGGCCACGCGTGATCGACTCAGATTCCGAAGACGATGGTGACGGAAGCAGAGACGAAAGCAGATCAGAACATCATCGTAGTCTTGACCAGACTGATAGCCCACCAGCTGACAACAGAGAGTCTTTTGAGGAGGGCAAGCTAAACAACTCTTCTGTAGTCGGCAGTGAAGAGGAGGAGAAAGATGAGCAAGAAGAGGAAGTAGCTGAAGATGACAATCACATCGAGGAGGATGACAATTCTGACCCTGGAGATGTAAGTGAGGAGGAGGAAGATGAGCAAGAAAAGGAGGTAGCCGAAGAGGACAGTCACTTCGATGATGAACATTCTGACCCTGGAGAAGTAAGTTATTCATGCCACACACACACACACATATTTCTGATCATTTGTTTTGTGCTTTTTTGCTTGGTCCTTAAGAGCTTCGTGCTCTCAAAAAGCCTCTCAAGTTACTTCTTAGGTTGAATTTAAAACAAACAATACCTTACATAAGGAATGGTCAATATTAGCATTTTACTTGATAATCTTCAGAATTGAAGCTTTAGAATCTGGACCTGAATTTATACATTGTAGGTCTCCATGGTCCTGGCCCTATTAGCTCCATGATACTGGAACGGAAATTTAAAGGAAAGGTTTTTGATTCCATCACATGTGCACTTCCTCTCTTCCACCAGGCTGTGACTGATGATGATGATGATGATGAGGCTTCAAAAAGTGACCAGGAAGGCAGTTTGGACGAAGAACAAGAGGAGGATGAGGTTGAGAGTGAAAGTAAGGGTCGAAAATTGTCAGAAAATACATTGTATCAGGTAACACAGATGTTGTCAAAATCTATTTTTGTCCCTTGTTTGAAAGGACCAAAACTGATTCCTGCCTTTAGAAAGACTCACTGTTTCTCTTTTGTGCCATAAAATATGTAAGTTTGTCTGTAAGTAAATTTCTGAGTGCATTTTCACCTGACACCTTATGATTACTGGCTACACATTGCATGGCCACAAATGTGGTCTGCTCTGTTTAAAAGGCTTAGCACCTGTGCAGATAGATCCGTACATATTTTGTATTTTATGTTTGAAGACCGCTAAGGCTTGTTGTTTTACAGTGGAAGAAGAGTACTACTCTCCAGAAGAAGACAGTCTACATGATAAAGACGCTTCCCATCCAGACTTGAAGTTGATGTACAGGGAGCTGGTGAAGGAGGGAAGGTAAGAAGTCAGTCTGTGCTATTGGCACAGGCAGCAAAGGAAAAAGTTTAGGACTGCATCCTTACTGCTGCAGCACCAGCTGGCAGTGGGAAAATAAACAATTGGTTATTGCCGCAACACCCTGTTACACAGCAGGCAAATTGATCAGCCGACGAGTCTATGTGCTTGGATTGATAATTTTAGCAGTTCAACACCTGGTACTTTCTTGTTCGTTGCACAATATTCATGGGTCTGCCAATGTTCACTAGTCACTGAGCCTAGTGCTGTTTGATAGGGTAGACTTTCCAGCCAGAAATACACTCGACTCTCTGGCAATTCTTAAATTTGGCAACCTTCTGACGATCAACATATATGGCTGAAGCTAGTCGACTTTAGAAAGGTAGCAGAGGTAATTTTTATCAAGTGATACCCAGCGAGTTACCAACCTTTTTGAAATCATTCCATGATTACGATACAGTTGTATTTCTCTCCTTAGGAAGCTGGAGGCAGAAGGAGATCTGAACTCTGCCCTGAACCACTACCTTCAGGCCCTGGACATGGACGGGTCAGACCTCGCACTGCAGACATCTGCCCTCAAACTGACTCAGAAAATACACACAGCATGAAAGGGAGCCTGTAACTAGATGCAACAGTGTACAACTTTTCAGCTAATTTACGTATGTCCAAAGCAATGAGATACTAGTAATACATTTTGTAATATCTCTTTGTTGCCAATGATGACATTCAATGTGTTAAATCTCAGGAAGAAGAAAAGTGTCTGATGTCATCATCAGATCATGTGCAAACCATTTCTTCCCTGACTTTGTGTGTACTGAAAGAAGTAGGTACTTGCCAAGGCCACCAAACTTAAGAGGAACTGTTTTTTTTTGAGAATGGATCATTCTTTATTTCAACTTTGCATGTTCCAAAAAAATCTTACTTAGTGTTGTGCTGTATGTGCATGTTTCTATTGTATTTCTCATGTATGTATGTCGAAAGTTTTCATTTTGTTAACTCTTTCTTGTACTAACTGTGTTACTTCTTGTAGATGTAGATTTGCATGGTATATTTTCCAGATAACGTGTTTATTTCATTGTCATAACTGTCCCAAGTATTGAATCTGCTTTCTAGCCACTTGCTATAACTTCAACTTTACAAATACATGACATTGTATATCTATCTGAAGCTCTTTCAATTATGTAGCAAATTAGGTTTCAAAACTGACAAAATATTTATCTTCTACAGTGTATTTTATCTTTAAAGAAAGTATTGATCAATGGCTACATTGTAAATCATTCTATCCAACATTATGTCTGTAATACACAGAGAGGTAGGACTCTGTATGTGGAAAGAGACTGAAAATATCATTGCATTTTAAACTACACTTTTGTACTTACAGAACGAATAAAGGCATAGTTACAATGTAGTGTGTAGACTACAGATTGTCTTGTATTTTTCATTGCATTACTTGTTGAAAATGTATGACCTACTTCGTAAATTCAGAATGTATCAAACTCAATGAGATCTGTCACTGCCAATATATAAAGCAAACATAAAGAACAAGCATCCACTTTGAATCGGAGAAATACTTTAATCAGGACACTTTAATCTTGTTTCTGAGAAGTCTTTATCCAGGCTGAGGGTGTTTGATGTAATCACAGACCCATTTTGATCATGGCTGAAATAGATAAGAGACAAAAGTGTTAGTTTTGATAAGTTGTTTGTTCTCCAAAGTTAGCTATGATTCACTTGTCTAACCTCTTTCTACATGGCCATCACAGTGGTGTGATGTCCAGTGACTTGGTGAGCAGGTCAACCGGTCATGGGTTCGATTCCTGGCAGCACGCTGTGTCCTTAGGATTAGGAAAGGCACTTTAAACCACCCAGGTGTAAAACAGATATCTGACTTCGGTTGGGGGGAGGTAAAATGGGGTGGAAGGAGAGGGATGGGCTCTACATGTGGTATACTGGTTTATCTGTACACTGTTAGTTTACCCACAGTCATCTGGTCCACTCATAATTTTTAGCAACGCTAAGCTAGCTGTCTACTCTGACTTGCAAGTTGAATGACAATGGTGTCATGTAACCCTGTACGTAGAGGCTAGGGGTAAGCCGTATTTTACAAGGCACAATACTAGCTATAGTATTCATCTGATAAGCCATTCCTTTATTGAACGCTTACCCGCTAGGCAGCCCTGGAAGCCGGCGTTGTAGTCCACGGCCACCTCGTTGGTGTGGAAGTTGCTGCGGTCGTCCGAGTAGTTGTCGTGCGCGTCCGGTCCGCCCACCAGAGCGCCCTCCAGCACGTTGGCGTTGGCGTCCCAGGAGTTGTAGGTGTTCCAGTCGCAATGTCCGTGGACGGGGCAGGTACTGAGAACGGGAACAACGAGCATGATTATTACAATATACTGTATATATACATCAAACACCTGTCAGAAGTGCTGGATTACAGGTATTTATAACTTTCCAATGAAAACTCAGGAACAGAACTAGTTTTACTGAAAGTGAGTTTAAGTATTATTTCAGCATGTTACTTGTTAAAAAGCGACCATGTACACATGGAGGTAGAATTATTGAGACTAGATGAAAGCTTTCAGTAAGGTCCGTTTTGTGTACGGGTCCTGATCGAAAAGGAAAGAACTGTATATGAGAACGTCTGAACATTGTGATTTTCCACGCATTAACAATGATTCAACACGTATCTACCATCTCCTGACCAAGAAACGTTTGGTAAAACTCACGCTGCGCGGTGGTGAGGCCTGACCGGAGGGTTGTTGCCGTAGCCGACCACCATACTGCGCCCCGCGTCACCCAGCATGTAGTTGATCTGTTGAGCCGCGAAGCCCTTGTACTGGTCCACGTTAATACCCATGTCGGCGGCAACCAGAGCCAGGAAGGCGTGATTGGCTGATGGTGATAAAAGAAGAGGTTTTGTAATTTCGAACGTAGCGAACCGTGTATTTCTGTATTTGTTTGACTTTGTATATTTTCAACATAACAACCATTTTTGACAAGTATTTTAGACACGACGAAAGAAATGTTTCGTTTTGTGTTGGCCTTTGTTCCACGGGACCTAAATCATTTGGCACTGAGATCATTGAAAGGTCATTGAGAGATCTGTCAATTTCTTGGATGATCAACAGCCTCTTAACGATCTGTGTAATCCTAGTGGGATGAAATCATTGACTATCACTATAAAGCTCCCTTCCTATACCCACCCGAATGCCTGCAGGAGCCCCACTCGTTCAGCCACAGCATGCCCTTGGGCGTGTAGGTGTCTCCGCCGCCTGGCATCTTCGGACGCAGGTAGTTGATGATGTCGTTCTTGTACTTGTCCTTGTTCGTGGCCTTGTACAGGACCAGCTAGAATATAGAGAGTCAACATTCAAGAATTGTTTTTGTTTACACAAATGGGTGACTTAAACCTTAGAGAAGCATTGAGTTGATCTTTACTCTCTGCAAAAGGATTTTGAGAACATCAGTTTTCTGTATCGATGTAAATAAAGAAAAAATAAAAACGATTTTATGAAAGTGTCGTCAAGCGGTGGAATGAATGAAAGACTGAACAGACAAAATCTCTTGCCTAACAAACTAAATACCCACAGCTGATAGTGATATTCAGAGTTCCATTCAGTTATTTGAAATGTTGTTACAAATGATAGTTTGGTAAAGTTGTCTTTACAACTTGAGGTTAGCGTTAGAGTTTCGTCTTCTTTTATAGCTTTTTAGGGCATGCTTTGTTAGTCACCATTGTTCCCGACTGCTTTTCGTCCCAGCTGAAACCACCGGAGCTGATACCATACTGGTCGTAGTACGACTCAGCCTTGCTGAGGTAGCTTCCATCTTGTGTTGCTCGGTGAAGCCAGGCGGCGCCCCAGACAAGCTCGTCGTTCATTCCGCCGAACGAGCTGGAATTAAGAATCGAAAGCTCCGCACATTAGAACGCCCAGGACTCCGAAATGCTGACTCAGATATCATTTAATCAATCGGGGGTATTGTTTTGCACTCTGGAAGTCAATACGTGGACGGATATTGGATAAAGAGAAGGGGAGACGCTGGATTACAACTACACCAGTCATGAACAGAGACGGTTTGGAGGGGAAATGGATACAGACTGGGTCACGTTTGGGACCACACGACCCATGTGGCAAGGAGTAGCAGTCTTCATAACACCCTGATGAAGGTAGCTGGAAGCAGCCGAAATGTCTCTGAGGAAATTGACCGTTACCTTGTAAATGCCGTTATCAAGTTACTGAAAGAAGAGATGGCTGTGCAATAGACAGAGAGGTAGGAGGTACAGACGACATTGAGGTAGACTCCTGTGCAGGCCTCCGGGCGGGTGGGAGTTTTGATACTGCGTGGGAGTTTTGATACTGCGTTTAGTACGCGTTCTTTTGCCGGCCATCATACAACCAGCCGCCCAGCGAAGGTTTGTGCCACGGAGGCACAAAACGCAGCATCAAAACTTCCACCCACCTGGACGCCTGCAAAGGAGACTAATTGAGGTCTACTCACGGGTAGGGTGTATCATGGACAACGTTCTGGTACTCTCCCCTGTAGGTGTCAGCGAACTCGTACAGATCCCGGGCGTGTTGCAGAAGGGTGTCGGCGTACCCGGGGTCTGGGGACATGCAAATAAAAACAAACGTATATCAGCACACACGAGTTGTTTCAAGTGGCCCCATCCCAGTATCATCCGTAACCAACTGGCCTCCCCTCCCTGCCGATCGTGTGGACTCTCCTAAGGTTATTGGACTAACCCTGTTATAGGGGTAAAATTCCCTGACAAATCGTTCGTGCAAATAGCAGGAGAGCACTGTATAATTATTCAGAGGCGTGAAGAAATTACATACACATTTTGTAGTTTACGATCACATGCGTCGTGCACTTTCTTGATCTGATCTGATGTCGTAAACCTATCGTACAACGGATGTAACCATGTACTACATGTAGCTAGAGCGGGACTGTGATTTGGAAGGACCTAGAAATTTCGAAAACGTCGTCAGCACAAAGCTAGATGTTTGGTTGTTTTACTTCCGTTCTCCCTGAATACGATGGAGGCAGCGGCCATGGCAGCGGCGGCTTCCGCGGTGACGTCAGACCCGGGCTGGTTGGCCGTGACCTTCTTGGCGGGCCGATGCATGGTCATGTCCTGAGGCTTGCCCCAGAACTGATGGTCAGGCTCGGTGTCTCCAACCTGGCGAAAGGGACAAACAATGGTCTCATTACCTATTAGCCTGGTATCCAGTCTTATCGTGGTTCGGACGGGTTTTCCTCGGGGCTGCAGGAGATGTTCCCCGCCCGCCTCAGGTAGGTTTCCTGGTAGATATTTCACGATGGGAGATTGAAGCAACTCCCTGGCATGCCATTTCGGCGTAACACTCCTACCGGGGCGACCTGTTCTACTGTGCGGGGGGAAACTATTAGAGCCCCGAAGACACAGCCTGTCCCACTACCATGCCCCAACCACGATTGACTGGATACCGGGCTAATTGGAGCCCATCATTCCCCTTCCACGTGCATAGTTTTTACAGGTTATTACGGTTGGGCGGAGTGAGGAAAGTCGACGTGGGGGTTACGGGATCCCCATTTCAGCACCAAGGACATCGCTGGTTAGGAGTCGCAGTCCTTCGGATGGAACGTTCAGCCGGGGTGTAAAGCTCACACTACACTCGATCACACTTATCTGTAAGAGTAGGAGTTCTTCCCGGTGAGAGAGGATCAAACCTTACAGCCCGGTCTTAGACAGATTGTGCGTACTGTACAAAGCTGGTGCGTTACGTACCGTGGCGGTTTACCTGTTATGCGGAACAAACAAACAAACACACAAGCAAACACATGCTTGTTACCTGCGCGACGAACTCGAACTTGCTGGGATGGCAATTGATGAAGTAGTCGGTGACCCACTTGATACAGTCCATGGCGTAGGCCATCTCCCCTGCGGCCTCGTACGCGCTCTTGAACTCAATCATGCCCCAGGACAGCACGGTGATGGTGTAGGCCAGGGGGAAGTGCAGCTTCAAGTGGTCACCAGCTAAATTACACATGAACAGAGAATGAATCTAGTTCAAAAATTCGACTCATGATCACGAGAAATGTTGTCTCCTGGTGGAATATAAAAAAAGTCACCACTATGTCATATGCTGATCGTCGTATGTGTGGCAGTCATTTTAGATTTCAGGATATTTTCAGACGTTTATGATCGCAAAGATTGTGGCTAGCAAAGTGTTGACCAGTAAAGGTGGTCCGCGTTACCGTCAAACCAGCCTCCGGACAGATCCAGACCGACGTCACTGCCGTCGCCTTGGCAACAGTCACGTCGCCAGGAGATACGGTTGTTGCTGGGAAGGCGGCCGGCCCGCTGCGCCTCGTAGAACAGGATGGACTTGTGCAGAGCCTGCACCAAGTCGTACCGACCTGAGACCTGGGAGGGAAAAATGCTCGGTTGCATTTTCCATGGTCTACAAAAGAGAAGTCAAACCCTTCAGACATAGTTCTAGACATAGCTATAGTTTTAGACAATTGCCTCTTACTATGTAGATCTTGACGTTATCTTGTACTTCTGGGGGTGTCCAAATTTCAAGACGGACAGGACTAGAAATTCTAAGACGACACGGGTATATACTCAGCTTTTTGCCTGGACTGTGTGCATAAAAAACATTCACATGAACGTTTTCGTAACGAACACTGAAAGCCATTGGCATATGGGCTGATACAGATGTGTGGATATGTAGCATATGGCAATGCTCTCACGTCTATATACGCACTACGTTATGACAAATTTCAAGATCCCCACAAGGTAAGGACATCGTTTACGTTGTTGAATCTATTAACAAGTTAGCTCTGATCACCATTCAATGTAAAGGCCTACAATGTAATTTCAGGGTGGCAATGTATTAGTCAGATTTCCTCATCTAGAATATTTTGTTCTGCCGTCCCTTTACACAGACTAAGAAAGGAGCAAGGTCCCAGAGCCAGACCTTGAACGACGGAAAGACTTACGACGACAGGATTGCCGCCCGAGGTGGTGGTGCCTCCGCCGGGGCTCTGGGTAGTCGTGGCCGTCCCGCCAGAGCCGACCTCCACTCCGTTGAAGAAAAGCCTCATGCCCGGCGCGGACCCCTGGGTGTTGGCCACGAAGGTCATCTCGTAGGTTCCTGCCGCCAGGTGCGAGTTCCAGCCCAGATCCGACAAGTCCCAAGCCTTGCTGTCTTCGCGAATGTTCACCACTTGGGCGCGCCAGATCTGCAAGGAGACAAAATGTTGTTATGCTGTCTTATGCCAGATGTACAAAATGTATGGTGCCGGTGTAACAAGTCGTTTGGAATAGCTAGCTTCCGTCGCGCCGCATGCCTGCGAAGCTGGTGTGTTACGCCGAAGGACAGTTACACCGGCTTTACAGGTGCAGACACAGAACATATTAATACTTTTCGTGTTAGCTAGTATATATAGTAGTTCAGCGGTCTCAGCCTCCAGTGGAATTCGGAAAGGGGGTGTACCGGTAGGCTACAAAAACTGTGGCAGCATGAAGGACCAATCAAAATCATTTCTTTCTAATGGTATATCTTGCTATCTCTTGACGAAATGTCACATAAGTAATAGAAGAACGTTAACGTTCTCTACCTCCATGTCATAGACCGGCTTGTCGAACAAGAAGGTCATACTCCATCCACCGTGGACATCCTGGGTGACGGGGATGTACACATTGGCCTGGAACCTGTTCCCCCAGTCCCCGACAACCTGGTAGTAGCTCTGCGCGCGGGCAGCACCCAACAACGCCAGCAAGATCAGAGCGGAGCACTTCATGTTGGCTGAGACCGTCTCTAAAGCAGACGAAGAGGGCGTCTCATGTATTTATATATCCCGACAAACTACGTATACATGGCTTCGCCGCAGACGCTCTGCGATTGGACGACTGTGTTGTCCTTACTAATGTTTTACTTTAGATCACCGCACACTTTTAGATTAAGACTATCTGTACGGACATGTGTTGCGTTCCCAGACTTTAACCCTTTCAGCCACAATTCACGTAATGTTACATCATCACCTCCTGATATCACCATCAGACCAACGATTATTTCGTGCTTACTTAGTGGTTTACTATCTATAAAGTGGTTAGGCTGTAAAGGATATGTAACGTTAAGACTCTCTAGCCATTGCTTAAAGGGAAAAGATGATACAGGAGATGGTACAATGGCCGGGGTTTAAGTTATTTGACATAAACCAAAGCCACGCACTATTTATACGTATTTACAAACATTTAGACATTTACAAACATTAGTTATTTACAGACATTTAAGTATTAGGTAATCGGGTCACCTTCATAATATTCGTGGTAAACCACTATAGAACGCCAATTACCCTTGCTGGGGTTTTGCTCACGGTATCTAATGACTGTGGTCAAAGCCTGGGCTTAGGCTTAATCTACTAGCTACTTTTTAAAGAACCCTGAAAAAGATTTTAATCATTGGATCATGTCACAAATACACACTAGCGTTTTCGGCATTTTGTCCACGAAAATAAAACATAAATTTGTACTAGTTGACAAAGGTTAAATTTCTCACTATCCATGAACTTAAACACTATATCAACAAACTTGTACATGTATACTTTTATCGACAAGCGTGGCCGCCCATGATAACGGTGTTATAGCACATCAATAATTATTATCTGGCTGTCAGAGAACACTAGTATGGTACAGTGTGTTTCAAAATTGCGTGGCCGCACTTGTCTGACCAGGTGTCTGGGTGAATAAGGTAACCCAAACGTCTGAGCTCTGTAATAATTTCTGACTGTAGGTCCTGGCGTGATGTTTTGCGCAACGTTTAGGTCTGTTAGCAAACTTTAATTCGCTAATTGCCATTCTCCCATTGGTCGAACTTCTAATTGTGATGGTTCGGGATCGGAATTCTGCCCGCAAGGACACTCCCCAAACGTTCTAGAGATCGGTGCGAGCAAACACCTGTCGGCCTCAACCAACCTTCCCATGGCGACGCCGGCGGACCTCCTACATCACAACGGATGTGCAAATATTTGTCACCCGTTCCAACGGGCTGTAGTGCTGATGGTTAATGATAGCAGCAAAAATAATCTTTCAAGGTTACTGTTGGCAAATACTAGTAGAACTTTATAGTAATACACAACATAAACCATTGTCCTCTGCGTTAGTGCCCCTATACTAGGGTCTAGCTTAAAGCCTTTTATATACTGTAACGTGGAAACTTGGTGAAAAGAGCTGGAGACATTTTGAACCTCATATCCCAAGAACTTATCGAGAATGACAACAACATTAATGTAACCAAGAGCAATATTTTTCTACAACATCGTTTATTCACCATGACCACACAAGTTTATTGTTACATGGGTTCATGTCCATCAGTATTGCTCATGTAAATATATATCCAATGATTCATGTACATCCACAGTACACCCCTCAAACTTTTGTTTCAATAAATTATAGACTTCAAATATGAAGAATTGTGAAGTGAGAAATGATGTTTTTGAAAATAAGAATACAGATAAAATGACAACAATTGAACGCTAAAAAAACACAGAACATTTCATACACCCTCTACAATTGCTCCAGAACGTACTGATCATATTATCAAGTAATGTAGCAAGAGACATTGAATCATTTACTACTAGACAAGCCATTTTGAGGAAGCGTCCCACATGGCAGCATATCCAGTACAGGCACAATAACAATGATTTTTCAACATCATATTCAATAAATAACAGTCACATTTGCATAAAATCAAAATTATGGCATGTGCACATGCACATACACTCACACATACACATGCACATGCACACACACACACAAACACACACACATGCATACACACACACACACACACACACACACACACACACACACACACACACACACAAACAGCTAGTACATGTACAGGCTGGGCAAGAAACTGATGGATTGAAGCTATCACAGAATATCACATGTACCCTTCCACTCTTACCAAAAATTAAATCCTCATTATAAAATATCTGGAATGTACTACGTGTATTTATTAAAAGGTTGACAACAGAATGGTATTGTGTATATAACATATATCTTACATCTTTCATTCTGTAAGTCAAACGTTTATGGTATAATATTACCAGAACACCTTGACTTATTTGTCCTTTTGTCAATCTTTGCAAAAAGAACACAACTTTTAATTCGACAAATTTGACCATTGACAAGAGGTAGTGTTTTTGTACCCTGACTCCCACAATATCTGCAGCTGTTTCTTTAAAAAAATATCAGCAGCACACAGGCAAAAATAACAGCAGCAGACACAGACAGTCTTCATAATAATACTCACCTTGAAATCAGGTGATATAAAATAAGCTATTTTCATGGTTACATTACCGTGAAGCAGCTAATTGGAAGCAGCAGTTACATGTCACTATAAAAAGCCTCCAACAGAATCACTTCTAGAATTTTTTCTTGTTTCTCTCGAACAATATGAATTGGTGATGAATTGACAGACTTTCAACTCACTTTGGCACAGAATCCACAGGTTCTGACATCATCACCACATTATGTTGCACTTGATACATCAATGAAGGTTAGACATCCTGGATTCCAGGTAATAAGACATACAAGAAAACAGATACTCAAGCTGTCAAGCAACTGCATACAAATGTATATTTTGATTTATCATAACTTTTGCTGACCAGTACTGATGAGAAGTAGTAGGTGCTACTTGAAACATCTGACAGTTGTTGAAATCTATTTGGGTATCTGTTTTCTTGTGTATGTTGCACTTGACATTCAATAACACGAACCTGTAGGTTGTATATCCTCACAGTTACTGCACTTGATTGACTGCACTTACACATAAATCTACTTTAAAATCACACAATCTGTCAAGTTATATCAATTCTATCACTTGATTTTCTGTCAAGACAAAAACAACAAACAGTTTAACTACACAACACTCAAAAGGTGCAGATTCAGCCTGTAGATATCCCAGAATGCCCTGCAGCTATCCCATCATGCCATAAGGTCCTCCTGCGTGCCCATCAGGTAGGTGACGACGGCGTAGTAGTGGAATGCGGCTCCAACCACGACGAACAGGTGCCATGTGGCGTGTGCAAATGGTATCCGCCCGTCGCTCTTGAAGAAGAACACCCCAGCGATGTAAACAGCGCCCCCGATGGAAAGCTCCTTCAGGCCGTCAGTGCACGGCTGCAAGGGGAACACAGGGCAATCAGAGATGGCAGACTTCACTCCCTTATCCATGTTAGCAGGGACAATCAGAGATGCTGTCCCAGTAACCTGAACTTACTTCAGTGTGTAGCAGTGCTCTCTTAGCCTTGCACTGACCAAATTTGTTTAAAAAACAATACTTTTTAGTTTTACCTTTTAACATGTACTTACCATAGATATCACAGACAAGGAAGGACATATCCCCATAATCAAGTACAGGGATGTCTCCAGTCTCTTACATCTAGGAGGGGGCAGAAAAAGATAATTAACGTCCAGCCTGTGGAACAGAGGTTTACAATTACAACTGTGCATGCCCATATCACAGGTTAAGGTCCTTGACATGTAAACAAAACCTGTCAGAGTATGATCCCACTTTGTACATGTCCTGACCTGTTTCGTTTACATTTTAGATGCTTTTTTCTATACCTTTACACGCCAAGTATTGCACATCAAAGGTGACAGGTTGATCAAAATTTTTTCTGTCATGTGCTGCAAACTGTCAAATGTTGGAAAGGCAGATGCTGGCTGGAACACTGGGCTAGGGTAATGCATTACCACAACCACCTGCTAGGTGTCCTACCTGTCCAGAAACATGCAGGAGAAGGCGGTCCCCAGCAGGGCGAGGATCCAGGTGACGCAGTGCACCCATTGGCCGAGAGCTCCGCTGTCCCGCAGCGTGAGCCACGGCATGTAGGACGCGGCGATGAAGAAGTAGATGACAGCACGGTCGCAGACGTGGAAAAAATGGAGGAGGGACCTGGACAAAAAGGCAAGTTTTAAAAAATTTATTTACTAGCATTGAATTTTTAGGCAGTTTCTTGGAGGAACATTAACTAACTTAAACTATCTAGCAGGTGGAAGGACATTACCTGAGTTTACCTGTCCAGGCTAGCAGTTGGAAGGACATTACCTGAGTTTACCTGTCCAGGCTAGCAGGTGGAAGGACATTACCTGAGTTTACCTGTCCAGGCTAGCAGGTGGAAGGAAGGAAGGACATTACCTGAGTTTACCTGTCCAGGCTAGTAGGTGTAAGGACATTACCTGAGTTTACCTGTCCAGGCTAGCAGGTGGAAGGACATTACCTGAGTTTACCTGTCCAGGCTAGCAGGTGGAAGGACATTATACTGAGTTCACCTGTCCAGGCTAGCAAGTGGAAGGAAGGACATTACCTGAGTTTACCTGTCCAGGCTAGCAGGTGGAAGGAGGTTGACAGGGTGAAGAGTGCGATCAGTGCCAGCCCGTACACGACAGCGTTCACAAACTGCAGCGTGTTGTCGGCCAATCGCAGCAGCAGCATGATGGCGAACAGACTGGGGATGATGAGTAGCTGTGGACGGGCAGAACAGGAACATGTCAAACTGCACATGTTCAGAACAAATGCAACAAGGAAATGTTCAGCATCCAAAGTATGGGTTGGAAAGGTACGGGCTGTTTCTCAGGGCTGAGGAGGTATATGGGGATGTTCCATAGGGGGTGGGGAAGTATGGGTTGTCCCCTAGGGGTGGGGAAGTATGGACTGTCCCCTAGGGGTGGGGAAGTATGGGTTGTTTCCCAGGGGTGCAAAAGTATGGTTTGTCCCCCAGGGGTGGGGAAGTATTGGTTGTTTCCAAGGGGTGGCAAAGCATGGGTTGTTCCCCAGGGGTGGGGAAGTATGAGTTAATCTGCAGTGGGACAGTACTTACCCCGTGTGTGACACAGTTAGCAATGTGCTCCAGGGGGGTGGGGATGTACGGGTTGTTCCCCACAGCTGGGCGGTTCATGAATCTGTGGCAGAAAATCACACAGGTTTAGAATCACAGTTGTTGATTGATGGTAATATGATGACAAGAACTATCAGCACACAGGAGAGGTATCGCGTCAATGCAAGAAGGTTTTCACTTGATCTACCCAGGATGATACTGCACACATCCCTGTAGGTTACATGATCGGTTCCATCTCTGAACTTGAGTGATGACTCCATGGCCTGGACCAAACCAACAGGTGGCTGTCTCATATCAGGTCAATATTTGCAATGCTGATACAATGTACTGCCTCATAGGGACTCAGCTACCTTACAGCTAGGGTTCAAATGAATCAAGACTATGGCTGGAAAATACGTACGTGGATCTGATTTTTGAACGCTCGATCGGGGCATGCATACCTCACAGTGCACGCTACAGGTGAATGCAGGTGTACCAAACACGTCACGTGAGGACATCACGTCTATAACAACAGGTTGGTCAAAACATCAACCTCGCGGGTAGCAAAATAGAAATTGGAACGCACAGGAAACAAAACAACACCTCATGCTAGCCCCAGAACAACCCTGCTGACCTGGATTTCAGCGGGCGGTGTTCCCCTGTCGTACAGCACACCATGTTGGCTCCCCCTCCCCTCCTCTCCTACCGCACCCGGAAGTGGTCGCCTCGACTCTCGCTCGAAATCTGCTATCTGGGCAACATCGTACAGCTTTCAGGCGCCGTGCACGCGTTCTATGGTGATGCTGTAGCCTGGTTGCTATATGTATATGCCTCCAAATTGGAATCTGGTCACTGGATACCGTGGCTTCTACTCATGAAACCCTTCAAACATGACAAGAAAATTTGCTCACACCCGGCGTTTTGATCGGTGAAGGGACGTTCCATTGAGAGGGAGGGGGGCCTCTATAATGTTCTAGCGATATCTCTTCAAGATTGTAAATGACAGATGTAAAAAGATAACGCACACATCAATTTGTGAAACATGCACATATTTCTCATAGAATACGCAGTTCCGTGGATATTCACTACTTGCCCTTCTTGGCCTTCTCTTGGAACAGACCAATTGCGTCAGAGTGGTGACCAATCAGCGTTCAACACAATCCATCCAAGCTCTTCTCGACTTCTGTCAAGGAGAGGTTCTTGGGGAAAATTGTGACTTTCTAATCTTATGGCGATGAGGCCTCGGGAAAAATGTTGTGTTTCTAGTTTCCCGACTGACCCTAGTAAAAACCTACCGACCCTAGCCTAATTTTTTTGTCCGCTGATCGACAAGGTCATAGAATTTTCAACCTCACATCTGAATTTCAAACCTAGCACCTTGGGGTATCTCACGAATAGTGAATAAAAGAAAAATAAAAGACATACCTACCTACCGACCCTATTACTTTTAGGACAGTAACCGGAGACACAACATCTATTCTAATCAGTCCCAATTAACTAGTAACTCTTCTATGCAACGTTGGTTGAGAAGACGGACAAAAACCTGGCAAATATAGAAGGTTACAATTTCCCCCAACAACCTCTGCTTGGAGAGTATTCGAGTTATCGCTCTGACACCACACAGATTCACACAAAGACGATCTGACTACTCATACGTGTACTTGGCTGCCCCCCAAAGAGCCAGGATAATACTAGTACTCTGACCTGCAACCATAGATGCAGTACCGAGTTGTGCCGCTACTTACCGCTTGTGTTATGTGATAGTCATTGTTCACTTCTGCCCCAAAACTTTGGGACAGAAAAAAAGGAGACAAAATGTAAGGCAGACAAAACGTCTAATAAAAGCTGAATAAGACGTCTGAAAATAGCAAACAAATAAACAAATAGGTCTATATATGTAACCTCTGCTTGGAGAATGCAGTACACTAGTATATATTCTCTTCATTCTCGCGATCCAGACCGACACCACAGACAAGCGGCACAACAATGGGGGCAGGCTGCGCAGGTAGTTTGGCCTAGAGCAAATCTGCACCGCCAAATCAGAGACTCTAGTAGGACACACCTGGCTGACGTTCACTCAGAATACATGTGTCAGTTTTAAAAAAGGCTCCTCGAGGTGCTGGAAAATAGTAGAAACTGGCCAAATAGACTATTTCTTGTTCCTAAGGAACGTTCAGTCCTCGTTAAGAATTATTTCCGCACCATTTCTTCACAAACCCCACGCTGTAAGATAACATCGCGACTCTTATCGGGAAGGTCATCGCAGATGCACGGCGAAGTCAGCCGTGTGGAAGACTCGGCACGCGCGGGTGTCAGCTTTGGGGCCGGGGTTTCCCTCCCAAAACGCAGCCTCCAACAGGCCTTTCCAATGAGTTTTGCATAGCAAAAATAGGGTAAATCATTTGTGGACGCTTGGCCTAATTGGGAAGTTAGTTCAGGTCAGTGAAGGCTATAATGGCACCTGTTCTGTTTCTAAATTTAACTTCTAGCTTTATGCTGGTTTCCATTGCCTTCTCCCCTTGAAAAGAGAGAGAGATATTTTGTTTCAATATGTAGGAAATAGGAATCAATTTTGTATTCTTAGCGACTAGCCTCTTTATACCCGTACTTGTACTTGGGAGACGTCAAATTTGGCGCGAAAATCCAGCATGGTGTGACGACCTTTGACCTAATTAAGCCTGCTGCCGCTACGTGTGCTCCAGCGCGTACGCATGTCCTTCCGCGTAAACAAAGGAGTCCCTGCTCCAACGGACTAGTTTTCCTTCCTCAGAGCAATAGGTGACCATGTAAGGAACTATGCAGCTCTTATTGATCTTAGATTTAAACCATTAATCTACATTGGGAAAAGACGACTTTAGTCGGGCTTGATTTCTTGCTATATCGATCGCGGATAAATCTATAATGTCACTCTGGGCAGTTCTAATTTTGTAGAGGGTCTCACCGTAGAGAGTTTTACTTTCTACGAGTTTTTGACAACTATATTAAGATAAAACTATTTAAAAGTATAAAATAACTGTATAGTACATCTATTACCATCATACGCGTGAGCTAATATCATATACACATAACATTCTAGGGTTTATGAGTGAGTCTCCCCCCTATAGTTTGGTATGTCCCGTGTTCCCCAGCGTTGATCAGCTCTCGGCTGTCCTGTGCGACTGCGAGCCGCTATGCCGCCAGCTTAACCCGCGACACTCGCCAACGGCTGGCGTCTACACACTCTCACACCGACAACGACTTGTTTCCCGCGAACTTTCCGAGCTATTCCCGGCAGATCCACGCCGATAGGACGGGCTGCGAGGCGCTAGGAGTAACGAGGGACGGTGGCGGGCGGAGCTTTTGTGCGGACCCGACCCGCTAGCTCCCTGGTCACGGTGTCCCACCCCCGAGCCTAGCCGGGCTCCAAGCTCAAACTTTCTGCCTCTTTCTCCGCCCCAACCGACTGGATCTGTACCGGGACTCGACATTTCCACGTATTTCTGCTTCGTCGCGACTTCTCGGTGGGGAAAAGGGCCTGGAGTCGTGGAAATATCCGGATTTGGTGAGCAGTTGTCGTGGGGCGCGACCCCCCTCCCCACCCGCCAGCTCGCAGAAAACACGCCGAATCAGGTCAAAACTTTGCTCGCTGCTCTTCCGATATTTCTCCACCATTCTTCACGATGTAACGGCGTTCTAGGGACCAAAGACGCATCTCATATGCTTTCTCCGGGATTTTAAGAGATTTATTTATCCCATCCACAAAGATTTGGAATACGAAAAGTAGCCAGCCCACCCAGTGCCAAGATGTCGCGCAAGGGAGAGCCATGCAACAAATTCGCCGCCAACATTTTCAACAAGGCGAAGTGTCAAAACTGCTTCCGTCCTCGGGAAGAACATCTTCTCAACGACTCCGACATGTCCCAGGTAAGGGATCGCCCACAAACTTCCATAATTCCTCTTCCCTCACGTCCCTACTGAAGTCAGTTTCCAAAATATTATGTAACATTAGACCCCGAAGCGCCCTGCTGTGTCTCTGTGTCGACAGTGACTTTTTACTAACCCTGAGTCTTTGTTCCAGATTCCCGTTTTTTCAGCTTTGTTGTGAATTTGTAGAGAATTTTATCAGTTTATGGTGAAACTTTTTTAACAAATTATCTTCATTGAAGGCCTAGAAATAACCTTTCTGGCTTTATATGCTAACTGGCCACTTGACTAATTTTCCATATATAATTTATATATTCTAATTCTTACTTTCTTACATACTAGTAGCATTTTTTCAAAGAGGATCTTTAGGCTCCAAACTGTTACTTGTGTTTTAGAAAGTAAGTTCTCTCACCTGAGCTTTTACGACGCCACGCCCTCTCCGATGCTCTTATCCTGTTTGTTTGTTTGTTTATTTTGTCATGTCTTTGATGATAGCCGGTTGGTGAGGGTTGTATTTGTGTTCTGTCAACATGACCCAGAGGACTGCCATATATGTAGTCACTGTAGCGAGGAGTGGAACACATCCCATAACAGATAGAGATAGTAGTTACAGCACCCATATAGTGTTTGCCCTGCTATGTCGCTAGCTCCGGTGGCCAAATTTATCACGAAATACATTATCGAAAAACAAACTTTTCCATGGTTTGATACTTTATAATCTGAGACACCCTACATATTCCTATGGAATCTGGGTACTAGAAAATGTCATAAGTCACCTTTTTAAGGTGTAAGTTAATATAAAACAGCGAGAGTTGGTCAAATTTTAAACAGAAGTACCGTATGACCTGGGAACAATGTTCAGCGTAAACTCTTCTCGCTGGACAGAAACCTGGAATGTCAACAACAACAGGAGTGGTGAATGGGGGTTTGTGTCAGGAGAGACAGTGGAAATAGAGCGGAGCTAGTATGCCATTCCTTGTCCCTGAGCCCACACCAAATTAGCTTGCTGGTTCTAAGGATTTAATAAGAAAATACACAACTAGATTAGAACTTCAATATGAAAACGAGTAAGTGTGGAAATTTTGTACTGAAGTTTAAGGATTGTATAAAGTTGCAGTCAAGTTTTCCTCCCATGCCTCTGCTTTCATTCTGTCCCTTTCTTAATTTGATTTTCCCCATAAATAAAACCTAAAGGTAGGAAGCAATGAAATGAATTGGTGTGGCACAATGCCAAACACAAGTTGAGGGTACCAGGGTGGTTAGGGGTGTGTTAGGTAACTAATCTGTACTAGTAAGCTGTCTTGTCTTTTCACTTATATCCTGACCAGATACAGTATACTACTTTACTCTTCTTACCTTCACTGGGCATGGTATGCTTTTCGACAGTATTGGTTTTGTATGTGTTTGTTTTTGTTAGTGACCTGAATATATCAAGATGTTGTAACTAGATTTTTATGATCAAAAATGTTGTAACTACTAAACTAGGTATTTTGGTGATGGGTAGAAATTATCCAAGCCTACAGTCCTACAGAAGCAAGAAAGATTTACAGAAAACAAAAACAAACAGCAGTTGTTTACCAATAAAATCAGCCTAAACATGTTGAGATTTTGCTAATATTCATAAGATATAATACTTATTAATAGCCAGATTTGGCCTAGTTAAAAGGCATTTTCCTTGCAGTTTAAATTTGAAAATTGTAACTGACAGAACATTGTTGTGCTGAGCTCTAACAGTCTGGTGCTGTGAAACCTGTCATATGGACGGGACCAAAACAAATACTACCAGGACAATAGGCTCAACCTCTTACCTTTTCTCACATGTTTAGACAATGCAACTCTAGAGACCCTCCTGTGTTATTCCTTCCTTTGTCTGTGAACAGAAGCTATTGTTTCTATGGGAGCATTTGTTTTTGTTCCCTTTTTAGGAAGGAACTTTATTGCTGTATTGGTGGATTTTCCTGTAGTAAATGAAGCTCTTAGTCTTACATATGTTAACAAGTATTTGATGCAACTATTAAGGATGTTAGTTGTGACAGTACTTCCCTAGAAATAAATATACACACACAACATTTTTTCTTTGAAGATGATATTGATTGATATGCGTATCCTGGTGTGTATCTATACTAAATTACTGTTACATCTAACATTATTTTAGTTGCTGGAATTAGTTGTCAGTGATGACAGTAAAACTATACCATTGGCCCTAGTATTCTCAACAATCTGTTCACTATAATGACTGGTAACAAATGTGTAATGACAACAATATTGATGCTGAAGAAAATTCACTCTAAACATTTGGTAGTGATGTCCATATTCTGCCCAATTGTGTAGTCTGTAGAGATTGATTTTGTCTGGAAATATACTAGTAGTTTACCTGGATTGTGTTATTGTCACAAACATGTTGTTACTGACATTTCAGATACCATACAGTATTTGTATAGATGTGTGTGTGTTACATGCACAATCACAACATAATGATGTCATCCTGTCCATAACAAAGGGGTATCCTGGGATCTGGGTAAACAAAGCCACTCATAGTATATCATACATTATGTATGAGGCTGGTGTAGGCTAGGGTTAGGGATGGGAGGTATAGTATAGACTGAGAGTTTTTGAAATAAAATTCATGGGTTATGAGAATATTACTGTGTGGAAATTCCTCTTATTTTCATTGATATACTGTTCAACCTGTGACTGCCTATGCATAATGATCACCCGACCATTGATATACCATCAAACCTGTAATAGTGATGACCTCTAAGTCTAAACAAATACCACCTGGCCATTGTATGAACTATTCACTTTTTGATGGCGCCTTAGATTATCATTTTTCCCGCTGACCCAAGCAGCTTGACTACAGTCAAAAGTGGCTACTTGTCCACTGTGACCATTTTCTTCAACACCCTTTTTGAAAGGTCTTAAATTAGGCTCCCTCAAATTGCAGGCAATTTGACTAAATTGCAGGTAAAAGTTCATACAGTCTGAAAAACTGTAATTCTCGTACCAGAAAGAGCCTCACTGGCTATGGCCTGGCCAATGCGATTTGTTGGTTCTGTTTGGAACAGAAGATTGGGTACAATCTATTTATTTATTTTTTTATCAGATTCAATTTTTCTTCCAGCCTTTTGTTTTCATTTTGGCATATTGACTTTTCTACTCTGAAATGTTGGATTGTCAAAGGAATAAATATAAATTGGTGTTGCCCAGTCAGTGCTTCTAGGAAGCCAGTGCAGCCAGTGTGCCAAAGATATATATCATTCCATAGCAGGGAAGTGATCCTGCTGGAGTCAATAGTGTAGGATACCAGCTGTGTTCAGTCCTCATCACTGCAGCTGCCCCCTCCAGCTCACACTGCTCTAGTTTCTCTCAGCATTCCTTTTCAGTGAAGACGAGACCTCTTTTATCAATTGAATCCAGTTTGGATATAAAAATAGCTCCCGTATGGTTCATCCCTGCGTGTATATGTTTACTACGGTAAACGATTTGTGTCGTCCTCCGGGCTCGGAAAAGGCCTTCAGGGCTGGGAAATTCCACAAGGTTCTAGCCACTTTGATGTCTGAGAAAACAGGAGGAATCTGGGATTTCAAACAAATAATCTTTAGAGTTAAAAACTTTTCATGCTTTGAAATACTGTAATAGAAAGGGAAGTCTTTCAGCTCTTTCAGATTTAATGTTTTCTGTACACTACTGCCATTGTAAAATGATGGTGAATATGAATTATGATGCCTTTAAAATTTGATGATGAAATTTGAAATATGTATCATTTACATCTAACATACTCTGGCAAGTCAGAGAGAAGTAGTAAATCAGATAGTGACCTTTGCAAGACGATATCTATTTATCAACCAGATCATTTTCGAGGACAAAGATAGTTCTGGTAAGGCCTAGGCATAATGTGTGACCTTGGAAATAGAAACTTGCCTTCAGGCTTGTGCAGGTCCAATAAACATTTGGCCTTTTTCACTTCTAAGCAGCACAGATTGGGCAGTGTTGCATTTCAGCCTACAGTTACTGTAAATTCAGAAATATTGCCCAAACTCAGAGTACAAAGTTTGGTGCAACCTTTACATTGACGTTGTTCCCTGTTATGTGATCTGTGATTTGATTGATTGTTTGATTACACATCACAGCGATGTTTTGTGCGTTGCAGTGTTAGCCATTGTCAAGTCTTCTGGTTGATCCAGTTTGTTGCTGTGAAAGCTGACAGTATTTTAAGTTCTGGCGTGGACATACTGTTCAGTGGTGGTTCCTTGCGTCCCGCCTCAAGTGTTGTGTACACACGAGTTGCGTACTAGCTTTGTTGTGTAAATATGCACTGTTTTGATCTGTAGGTACCTCCCCTTTTCTGTAAATAATCTCCAGGTCCGAGATAGTTGCTAAGTAAACCTATTGTCAGGCTGCGCAGTGTCCTCCCAACCGATACTGTAGGGATATGGCCATATCAGTGCAATTTCCCGGTTGTCAGATAAAGAGATACTTGCTGAACTGTAAGGTCAATATGAAAATATCTCATCTAAGGGGAAAGTCTGTCCCTTGTTTTTTTTAATTATCTGATACAAGTTTTCCTCCCAGTTTTCTGTTAAAAAAACTATGCTGCCATTGTGAACATTTCTTTCCAAAACTTTTTTTCGAGTTCGTAAGTTTGATACCTGATCTGACTAACATGCATGTTGATGTGTTTTCTCTCATTCTGATGTCTGTCATCTTTGCTGTGCTCTCACTTGGAAATCTTCCATCCTTGATTTGAAATTCTTGTCACATTTTCTGCTGTCTTTTCTCCTGTCTCCATTCTTCTTTTCTTCCTGTCATCTTCACTCTTTCTCCATGTTTCTCTCTCTTTCCTTCTGTCTTTCTGTACCTTTAGCAGGAGGAACCTAAGCCCCCTGAGGAGCCACCAGAGAAGCCTGGTGTAGGTACTTGGTTAATTGATTTTTACAACTGTACATGCATGACCTATGGGGCCTTCCAAACGTCAGTGCCTGTCCATGATATGATCAGCTTGTTGTACTGTTGTACATGTTGTTAGTTCTGGGATGTTTGTTTTGAGTAGTGGCGGATTCTGAATGAGCCTACAGGATCCATTACAACATTGCCGATATACCTTACCAGGACGAGCTCAAAATACAGTACGGAAGTTTCTCAAAATCAGCTGCGCTTGTGTGTATGTGTGTGTGTGTATGTGTGTGTGTGTGTGTGTGTGTGTGTGTATGTGTGTGTTTCATATGAGTTACTGGTACATGTGTACATGCACATATGCACATGGATGGGGTGAAGTCTGTCATCTCTGATTGCATAGTGTTTTGTCATAATTCACCATTCTGTGTGTAGTCTAATCCCCCTGCAGTTTCCATTTGAACTGCAGATTATAGAAACTGCGACTTTGGCCGAGGCTGAGACTGTCAGACTGTTAAGTAAGAATAAGATACACCAGACTAAGTGTTCTACCTAAAGTTTAACATTTGCAGAGCAGACAGACAAATCAGAGTTAGTGTCTTGCTGAGCTCAGGGTTTAAGGATGTGTTGCCAAGACTGTGAACCTGAAAGTGCAGTGACAGGTCGGAGTGCTGCAGAGTTTACACAGCGCTCTCACAGCTCCGTGTTTCTTACTTGTGCAAATATCTACAGCTGCGAAGTAGCATTCTCTACCTACATGTGGTGTGTGTGTCTGACACGGGGTGATCCTTCAGGCTTGTTACTTCAACTCAAGGGAGTCAAGTATTGTTTTAGGCTTGTCTGTCTCTCGTGTGTGCATGTGTGTGTATGTATGTGTTTCTAGAGTTCCAAAAGTACACAATGTAGCATTATGTGTCATACAAGCAGAGGTAAAATATGGTGGATTGAAATGTGGAAGAGGATGACTGGTATAGATAACGTCCTCATTATCCAGTACATCTGTCTGCCCACATCATCCCTTGTTAAGTAAAACTGTCTTGTCTTGAAGTGAGGTCGTTTCAGGTGAGGCAGACAGTCATTGTTCCACATCAGAGATGTCTTAAATAATGTTGGACTTTATGTCCTTGGGCTGATCTTGCAGCTGTTTTGGCTATGGTGTCTTTTTTGTTTGGGCCCTTGTCAGGAATGTCATGTCAGCTGAGGATCTTTTTTTGACTGTTTTGGAGTTATCAGATTTTGAAGCTGTATGGGCGCCAGGTGTGCACAGTTTTTCTAACAATCATGTCAGGAGGCTGATGTTGCAGTCTGCATGGTGGCTTTTGTCCAAGTACACAAAGTAAAGAAAAAGAAGAAAAAAGGTCATGTTGAATCAGTCCTCAAAGTTATATAAGTGTGTGTACGTGCAGTTTCAGGATTTACTTGAACTTAGACATTTCAGGATATCTAATACTGATGAACATTTATTGAGCTGAAAATGCCAAAGACTCAAGAAGCCTTGTCTGAATGGCTCAGTCTAAACTTTCACATTTGAAACCACTTATGTAACGCTGTAGAAATGTCAGCTGAGGACACATAAAAACTTAAATACACTCTGAATTTGTAAACCAATTATAACTTAGGATATTGGAGCACCCAAGGGCACATGTGTAAACTTTTTGCATATTTTATAATGGGTAAAAGCTGTGGATCTGATACAGAGGTGTTCTAATGGAGCCCAGGAGAAGGGCTTGTATCATCAGGCACCGGGGATGGGACCTGGGGGGTCATGACTGACAGGAACCTAGTTATGATATCCGCTGACTCCACATCAATTTAATTTTTGGATTCAAAAATAAAATGCGGAGCTGGAAGAACAATGCATAAAACTACAAACCTCTAGAATACAGTAAAAGATTTTGGGGTTCGCTTTTATGGAAGAGACCAATAAAGCTAGCCTGTTGGTAATTGAATTTTGGGAAAGATCTGGATATGATTTGTATTTAAGAACCTTGTTATGATGTCTGCCTTCGATAAACTGTCTGCTGCTGGGACTGAAACATTGCTTGGGTTTGGTAAAAACTATCATGACATGATGTTATATCTCAGGGCTGTAGCAGAAAAAAAAGGCTGGGATGAAAAATAATTTACTCTGTGAATCTCTCTCTCTCCCTCTATCCGGTTTAACATCTGTTGTTCCCTATGTTCCGAGGGTTAGACGTGCTTGCACACTGATGCACTATATGTATGCCATTTAAGTTACAGACTTTCTCTTTTGAACCTTTTTTCACATTGATCTTCCAATACATGCACAATGATTTGGCATTGGCTTTAAATATAATTTTTTCTTGTACAAATTTTGCGCACTTTTAATCAAATTCTTTAAACAGAGGCATGAGCTAAACTACCATCTTGTCTGGATGTTTTTTTTCTTGATAGACCAGTCCAAGGCCTGACTACTGTAAATTTTGAAATGTTTGTTGTAGTTATATTTTTGCTATAACCTTTCAACTGCAAGTTTATGACACTGCAAATTTGTTCCAATGTATTGCTACTGTACCTGTACAGCTACAGACTTGTTTAACTGCATATTTAAAACATTATGAAAACCTCTCCATTTTCTTTGAAGTAAAACTGCAGTGTAAGTAAATGAGTTCCCAGTATGGAGGACAGACTGTCAGGGTCTGGGAAGTGGGGAGGAATGTAGTCCAGCTGGAGACTGTTTTCTGAGACAGGACTGCTCCAAACCAACCTGACGCCAAGGCTGCTTTG